AGTGCTTCTCAGACAAGGTAAAACTAAAGGAGTTCATCATCACCAAGCCATTATTACCTGAAATATTAAAGGGACTTAATTTAAGAAAAAGATGATCAAACCTTATGAATATTAAAATGGCAACAAATTTACAATGATCAACAACAGAATCTAAGAAAACAAACTAAGCAAAGAAGCAGAACAGGAACAGAATCATAGATATGGAGATCACTTGGAGAGTTATCAGCTAGAAGGGAGAATAGGGGGAAAGGTGCAGGGACTAAGAAGCATAGATGGTAGGTACAAAGTAGACAGGGATGTTAAGAATAGTATAGGAAGTGAAGAAGCTAAAGAACTTATGTGCAGGACCCATGAACCAAGGTGGGGGTGTTCATGGAGAGAATTGGGGGTACCTGGCAGAGGGGGACAGAGGGGAAAGATTGGGACAACTGTAATAGCATAATAAATAAAATATATTTAAAAAGTAAAATAAACCTTTTAACAAAAAATAGTAACTATACCTTTATATATAAAGAATATGCAAAGTGATAGCTTATTTATATTGAATGATAGATAACATTTAAATGAATATTCTAAGTCATCGTCATCTAAACGTGACTATTTCTTTTCTATACAAACTTTTGTAATCCTTGGAGCTAGAAATTTTTAACATTTTTTTAAAGATTTTATTTATTTTTAGAGAGAAGGGGAGGGAGGGAGAAAGAGAGGGAGAGAAACATCGATGTGATAAATATTGATTGGTTGCTTCTCATATGTGCGTCCCTACTGGGGACCTAATGGCGACCCAGGTATGTGCCCTGTTTCATCCAGCTGGTGAATTTTCACTTTGCTGGACGACATCCAGACAACTGTGTGACACCCGTCAAGGCTTAGTGTAATTTTTTTTTGCTTTTTACTTATTTTTAAAATTTATTTTTATTGTAGCTTTTTTCATTACCAGTTATCCCTCTTATACAAGCTTCTCCCAAGCTTCTCCCTGCAACCATCACCACACTGTTGTCCATATGAGTCCTTTTTCTCTAATCTCTCCACCCCCTTAATCCCTTCCCGTGGAGCTGTCAGCCTGCTCTCTGTCTATGAGTCTGTCTCAGTTTTGCTTGTTAGTTCAGTTTGTTGATTAGACTTCACATATGGATAAAATCATATGGTATTTGTTTTTCTCTGACTGGCGTATTTCACTTAGCATAATGTTCTCCAGGTTCATTCTTCTTTTTGTAGCCACGGAGTACTCCATTGTGTAAATGTCCCATAATTGTTTTATCCACTCATCTACTGATGACACTTGGGCTGCTTCCAAATCTTGGTGATTGTAAATAGCACTCCAGTGAACATAGGGGTGCTTGCATTCTTTAGAATTGGTGTTTTGGATTTCTTCAGATAACTTCCCAGAAGTGGGATCACTGGGTAAAAAGGCAGATCCATTTTTAATTTTGTGAGGTATCTCCCTACTGCTTTCCACAGTGGCTGCACCAATCTGCATTCCCACCAACAGTGCAAAAGGGTTCCCCTTTCTCCACGTCTTGACCAGCACTTACTGTTTGTTGATTTATTGATGATCGCCATTCTGACAGGTGTGAGATGATAATTCATTGTGGTTTTAATTTGCATTTCTCTGATGATTAGTGACATTGAACAACTTTTCATATGCCTGTTGGCCATCTGTGTGTCTGTCCTCTTTGGAGAAGTGTCTGTCTAGGTCCTTCGCCAATTTTTTAATTGGGTAGTTTGTCTTTTTGGTGTTGAGTTTTATAAATTCTTTATAAATTTTGTATATTAACCCCTGGTCAGCTGTATTGACAAATACATTAACGTTCACATTCACAGGGATGTCTTTTTATTTCGTCGATGGTTTCCTTTGCTGTGCAAAACCTTTTTTAGTTTGATGTAGTCCCATTTGTTTATTTTTTCTTCTGTTTGCCTTGCCAGAGGACATGTATTAGATAAAATATTGCTATGAGCAGTGTCCAAGATTTTGCTGCCTGTGTTTTCTCCCAGGATTTTTATAGTTTCATCTCTAACATTTAAGTCTTTAATCTATTTTCAGTTTAGTCTTATGTGTGGTATAAGAAGGTTGTCTAGTTTCATTTTTCTGTACATATATGTCTAATTTTCGCAGCACCATATATTGAATAAACTGTCTTTAGTCCATTGTATGTGCTTGCTTCCTCTGTCAAATATTAATTGACTATAAAGGTATGGTTTTATTTCTAGGTTTTCCATTCTGTTCCACTGATTTGTGTCTGTTTTTATTTCAGTACCTTGCTCTTTTGATTACTGTGGCCTTGTAGTTTGTTGTTACGTAGCATAATTCCTCCAACTTTGTTGTTCTTTCTCAGGAGTGCTGTTGCTATGCAGGTCTTTTTGTGGTTCCATATAAATTTTTGAAATATGTGTTATGGTTCTGTGAAATAAGCTATCAGTATCTTGATAGCAATTGTGTTGAATCTGTAGATTGCTTTGGGTAGTATGGACATCTTAATGATGTTAATTCTTCCTGTCCTTGAACATGGTATGTGCTTCCACTTATTTGTATCTTCAACTTCTTTCTTTAGTGTCTTACAATTTTCTGAGTACAGGTCTTTTACATCCTTGGTTACATTTATTTCTAGATAATTTATTCTTTTTGAAGCAATTGTGAGTGGGCTTGTTAAGTTCCCTTTTTGATAGTTCATTACTGGCATATAAAAATGCAACTGATTTCTGGATATTAATTTTGTATTGAATTCATTTATCAGCTTTAGTCATTTCTTGGTAGAATCTTTGGAGTTCCTTATGTACATACACTATTAAGTTATCTGCAAGTAATGATAGTTTCACTTCTTGCTTTCCAATTTCTATGCCTTTTATTTCTTCTTCTTGTCAGATTGCTGTGGTTAGGACTGTGCTGAGTAAGAGAGGTGAAAGTGGATATCCTTGTTTTGTTCCCAATCTTAAGGGGAATGCTTCTAGTTTTTGCCTGTTGAGTATGATACTGGCAGTGGGTTTGTCATATATGGCCTTTGTTATGTTTAGGTATGTTCCCTCTATTCCCACTTTGCTGAGATTTTTTATCATCAATGAGTGCTGGGTTTTATCAGGTGCTATCTCAGCATCTATTGATATGGTGATGTAGTTTTTATCCTTCATTTTGTGTGTGGTGTATCGCATTTTATGTGCACTAAATTCTCTGTCCATTGTCCCTGCTTGGTATGTTCAGACATAATGGCCCATCAGGTATTTTATTACTTTAGCTTTCCCAAAGAAGTCTCTTCCAGTGCCCTTTGATTTTCTTCTTTGTAGGTTTTAATATCTAACTCCCATTGTCTTTGTTCTCTTAAAATTGTCCCCTTCCCTTCCAAATACTTTTCATGTAATTTTAGTGGTTTTCAACAAGGAATGGAGTTAAATGTATGTCTAACAATCAGCGGATGGCCTTACTTTCCACTGACAGATAAGAGAGCTTGTTTACCCCGAGACCCTCAGTCTACTAGCTTGTCTGCATTCCCACTTTACTAAATGCCTTCCCTATTTCTATTCCAAAGTCAGTTTTTTAAACAAAATAAGCCTTATTGAGGTCAGATTTAATTATGTTCTGAATCTCCTGTTGCTTTTTACAGGAACTGTGATATCTTTTATTCTGTGTCTCTTAGAGGACAGTATAATGTTTGGGCCTCCATAAAATTTTTTTATTTTGAAGCTTGTCCTTGGACATCCCTTTACTTCTTGCTCTATATTAGAAAACATTGCTGTTTTGTGGATACTGTCCGCTTACCTTAAGAATGTTTTGAAGTGCATGGAGGTGTGTTTGATTGCCTTTGTGTTTCGAGCATGCTATTGGCACGTAGTACAGACTGAAGATCCTAAAGGCCCCTTAATGCGTGGACAAGTCCTACACAGTAAACAGCTGTCCCACTTAGAATGCCAGTAGCCAATTTTGAGAAATACTGCTTGAAATTTAAAGGGAAACCTGGCTCTCTGCTTTGAGACATGGTACTTGCCACAAGTCTCTCAAATGGTGTGTTTTTCTTCCTCCTCCTTGAGCAAAGGGGACAGGAAGCCTGCTATATCTTTCTTTGTCCTCATTGCTGCTTCCCAACCTACTCCATAAAAAATGTAACAAAGGTAGGGAAACAGAAAATCACACCTCACTTAATTTTCTGCTACCTTTGTTACAGAGAGAACCTATTTTGAGTGTATAAAAGTAATTTATAGTTCATAAACATTACCTGTAACAATCAGCCCTCATGGTTAATAATCTATATGACCATATTATAAATGAAATAAGATTATTTCTCATTTAATAAATATTCAGTATATGTACACAACATGCCCTTTTCTGACCAGTTTATTGACAAATGTAGATTTATTTTTGGATATTGTATACAGTTATTAACTAACTTTCCTTTTCACTGTTATGAACCATTACTTTTCAAATGCCTTTTGCTGTCTCTGTTGCAACATCTTATGAAGGTTATTTGTTTAAAATGCAAAGATAAGAATTCCATCAATGCGCTAGCCAGGTTTGTTCAGTGGTTGGAGCATTGTCTCATACATCAAAGGTTACAGGCTCAGTTCCTGATCAGGGCACATACTAAGGCTGTGGGTTCAGTCCCTGGTCAGGGTACTGGTGGATTATTGTTTTCTCTCTCATATCAGTGTTTCTCTCTCCCCACTCCCCTCTCTAAAATCAATTTAAAAAAAACAAACTTCTCCTCCAGTGAGGATTAAAGAAAAACAATTCATTAATAACATGATGGCAATGTTAGCAAAATGGGGTTAATCGTAACTCTATGTAAGGTATTGAACTGTGTCTAAATATTACACATTTTATATCAAGTTGCATTTTTAATGCATTATTTTGTGAAAATGTATCAGAGCCAGAATATCAAATACTTATCTAATGTACTCTCATATCTTGGATTTGGCGTGTGATGTTTAATGCATTGTTTTCTTTAACTGTGTTTTGCATGAAGTAATGACTTGTGTTATTAATTGTTCCAACGTGTCTTTCTGATTTCTAGGTGGTGGAAAATGCCCTTAAGGTGAACCCAGTATTAGGCCCACAAATGTTTCAACCAATTCTACCCTGTGTTTTCAGAGGTATTATAGAAGGGGAGGTAAGATTTTTATTGAGCTTCTAAGGATGGTATTGGACCCTAGGGTTCTATAGTTTTAATTATTTTCCCTCTTCATTGGGAAATTATTTCTTCATTGTCTTATGTAAAAGGAAAGCTTTTTAACATATTTGGTTATTTTGAAGTAAATTATGTAAATTTCACATACTCATACAGCTTTGTTCTTTATTTTTCCACAAAAGAAAGGATAGATTTCCTTGGCTATCTCATCTCTCATGCATATGTATGTGTATTCACACACAAAGATTTGAAGCAGAGGAATGGCAAAAAAAAAAAAAGTGCTAGTTTTATTACATGCCGAATATAAGAAAACACTGGTTATGTTCTAAGTCCAGAACTTAAATAGATCCATGTAACCATGTATGTTAATACAAGTATATAAATACAAGATTGATAAATATCCTTTTTCTGTTCTCTATAATATATATACACACACATATATATACATACACACATACTGTCATACCTATAAATAGATATATTACCTTATATGGCATATATATTTACTAAGAGAGACAGGTAATATGGACAGTTCATTCTAAAGAAGCAGTATGAAGAAGGATATTGTTATTTCATATCTCTGTTGATCGTTACTATGCCAGTGATTTTTTATAATGGTTTATACTGTACCTTACCACAATTTTACATGTGCTGTATTTTAATTGTACAGAGATACCCTGTAGTGATGTCAACATATCTCGGAGTAATGGGTCGAGTCCTGCTGCAAAACACTAGTTTCTTTTCCTCACTTCTTAGTGAGATGGCACATAAATTTAATCAGGAGGTAAGAATCAATTTATTTAAATTGAAGAAAGTCTTCATCCATATAATGATGGGAAACAATTTGGTGAAATAATGATTCCTTAAAAGTCTTATTGTGTAAAAACTTTTATATTTTAAATCTTTAATAACTTTGTACCTATGATTTAGGAGAAGAAAAAGAATCTGTAAATGACAATTGAAACTTGTATTTTCTTCTCAAAATACGCAATTTTATTCTGCTTACCAATAGGAATATAGAAATGAATGTATGGCTGCAGTCATACATTAAATGAAACAGACATACAATCATGTACTGTTTTTGTTTCATTTCTTTAATTAACTTCTTAATTCCATGCAGTGAGTTGCCATTATCATTACTGGGGAAATTAGCTTTCTCCCCAGGGCTTATTGAAAAATACTGTAACTGAAACCAACCACTGTAATAAGTATGGAATAGGTTCTTAAGTAAGTTGGTTGCTTGAGACTATATACATTATATTAAAATGTAGTTTTTATGTTTTAAGTCAGTCTGTTAAGATTTATAAAATATAGGCAATTTGTGAAATTTTTTGGTTTGTGGGCTGAAACAAATATAACTATTTCTACATCAAGGAAATCTAGAATAAGGAAGTACAAATTCTAGCATGCATATAATTTTCTAGAATTAGGCCAGTCTAATTAGGGAAACCACCTTTTGTTTTGATGAATAGATTATAGAGATTTTTCATTAGCTTTATTAAATTTAACTATGATACTTTAATTTAATGTTAAACAGTTAAGAGTTTATTCAGCTGGGTTCAGCAAAATTTGTTGAGTGATTTTAATAATAACATATTTAACAATAATATATATTTCATGTGTTATTTTGAATCATCACAATGAGATTATTCCTATGTTTATCTCATACATGAGAAACCTGAGGGTTAGAGAGCTTTAGTGACTTGCCCACATTTTCATAGCTAGTGAATGGTAGAGTTGGTATACAAATGCTAGCAACCTAACTTCAGAGCCCAGTATCTCAGAGACCACATTCCACTGCCTCCTACTTATCCTACAACAGGCCTTTCTCCACTCGACCCTGCAAACACTGGCTTTGACAGACTTGGAGGGATTACTTAGGCAATTTCAAATTAATATTGTAAGTACTGTGTTAGAGATATCCAACATGCTGTGGGAAGAATAAGAAAAGCTATCAACTGTGTTAAAATTTTTCTGTTTTCTTAATAATAAAAAATTACAAAATGCATATAACATGAAATGTACCCTCTTAACCATTTTAAGTATACACATCAGTGTTATTAAATATATTCATAATGTTGCACCGTCATCACCACTATCCATCTTTGTAACTCCCTGTTGTAGAACTTGAACCTCTCCACCCATTAAACAGTAACTTCCCTGTTCTCCCCTCCCCCTGCTTCTGGCAGCCACCATTATACTTTCTGTCTGATTTGACTACTATTAACTACCCAAGATAAGTGCAATTATACAGTGTTAGTTTCTTTTTGTGTGTGTGACAGACATACTGCTTAGCATAATGTGTTGAAGGTTCACCTATGTTAGTAGCAGTATGTCAGAATTTCCTTCCTTATTAAGACTGAATAATATTCCTTGTATATACCATATTCACTTACGCATTCATCAGTCAGTGGACACTTGGGTTACTCCCACATTTACTACTACTAATAAAGCTGCTATAAATATGAACATGGATGTACAAATATATCTTTGGGACTATGCCTTCAGTTCTTTTGGGTATATATTGAGGAGTGGAATTGCAGGATGGTGTGGTGGTTCTATTTTTAATTTTTTGAGGAGACACCATACTGTTTTCCACAGCAGCTATACCATTTAAAATTTCCTCCCACAGTGCTCAAGGGTTCCAGTTTCCTATATTGTTGCCAATGCTTGGTGTGACCAGACTTTTTAAAAGTGGTTGTAGTATTTCTGTCCTACCATGTGCGTCGGTTTCAGTTGCTCCTTAAGCCACACTAACACTTGGTAACCAGTCGTCTTTATCTTACCATTCTGATGGATTGCTAATGGAAATCTCATAGTGCTTTTTGAATTTTCTTGATTACTAAAGACTTCCCACATCTTTTTATGTGCTTACTACTCATTCATGTATTTTCTGTGAAGTGTTTAAAATCTTTTGCCATTTTTTAAAATTTATGTGTCTTTTTCTTGAGTTGTAAGAGTTCCTTAAAGAACAAGAATAGTTTTCTAGGTTTAAGACTTTGTTAGGTATTTATATTGGGAATATTTTCCCCATCTTTAGCTTTTGTTTTCATTTTTTAATTAATATATATTTTTGAGACCAGAAGCTGTTTTTCAGTTTACTAGTTTATCACTTTTTGTTTTTTATGGTTCATAATTTGTTTTTTAAATCAGACTTTTGTGTCTGACTTAAGAAGTCCTTCTACCTGAAGGTCATGAAGGTTTTCTCCTGTTTTCTGGAAGTTTTTATAGTTTTAGCTTTTATGGCCACTGCTTTAATTTTAGTTAATTTTTTGGTAAATGATGGGAGATAAGGTTCAATGGTTACCATGTGTGTTATGTGTATATATAGCATACATACATATATACATATGTAAATACATATATATACACATATACATGTTTTTGTATGTTATAAGTTATTCTAGAATGATTTATCTAAGACTTATCTTTTCCCCATTGACTTTCCTTGGCATTTTGTGAAAAATAAACTGACTGTTTACAAGGGTAGGCAAAAGTAGGTTAAATTGCCAGCCATCTTTACCTAAAAGATAAAGCATAAGTAAGATTACAAAATAATAATGATAACAAATAAATAATACAATAAAAAATAATAATACAAGAATAAACTGTTTCTCATACAACTGTAAACAAACTTTTGCTCACCCCTGTATATGTGCATCTTTTTGTCTCATTGATCTGAATGTTTACTGTTGTGCTATCATAATATCTTGGTTAGTTATAATAGATCTTGAAATAGTATATATCCTCCACCTTTGTTCTTGTTTAAAGTAGGTATGGCTGTTCTATCTAAGCCCATTACGTTTCTACATCAGTATTAGAGTTGGTCCACTGACTTCTACAAAAAAAAGTCTGAAAATTCCTGCTGGAATTTTGATTTTATAAATTAATTTAGGGAGAATTTTTATCTTAGTGAGATAGAGTCTTCTAATCTATAAACATGGATATACATTTATTGAGGTGTTCTTTTAGTGTTCTCAACAATATATTGTAGTTTTCATTATATACATCTTGCACGTATTTTGTGAAACTTATACTGGATTTTAATGCTATTGTAAATGGTGTTTTGAGAGTTTCAGTTTTCATTTGTTCACTGGCAGTGAAGAGAAATGAAGTTGATTTTTGTGTATAGTAAGCAAGTATCCCTGCTTAATATGATAATGATTTGTGCTACCATTTATATAGCTTTATAAGTAGGATTACAATATCTATTTATATAAAAATAAGGCCTTAAATTTTTAAATTTATGTTTACTCTTAATTTTTAAATATTTTTAATGTCACTTTACCTCAAATAATTGTTAGTAACAGCATGAATTAAGTCTGGAAGTGGGTCACCTGGTAAAGTGTATATTTGTACAAGTGGAGATCTGAAAATACAGCTTTCCTTGTTTTTAGTCTTGCAGGGGTGTCCAGCCTTTTGGCATCCCTGTGCCACACTGGGAGAAGAGTTGTCTTGAGCCATACATTAAATACATTGTGACACATAATCACAAAAAAAATCTCATAATGTTTTAAGTAAATTTACAATTTTGTGTTGGGCCACATTCATAGCCGTCCTGGGCTGCATGTGGCCTGCATGCCGCATGTTTCAACACCCCTGAAGGGAATTTGCCTCTGTGTAGTCTTACACTTAACATCAAGTTTATACTCAAAATAATATACTTTACTTACCCAGCACTGAGTAACTAATGGATACTTCTTTAGGTGCTGTGCATTTGAAAGTCATCATAGGGGAAATTTTCTGAAATTATTTTCTTATTTCAAATAATCATCATTTTTTAAAAACACACGAAAATAGGCCACCTCCATTGGGCTAAATATCATAATATAGAGAAATAATGACCTGTGTTAGATGCTGGCACTGCTCCAAGTCCATTGGCATTATGAAGGATTGAGGAGAGAGCTATTATTGGTTCAGACGTATTTCTGACACTGTATTTAGACCACGCTTTTCATGGAATACTTTTTTCCACTTTTCATTGTGAAGAGAAAATATTTTCACGAAGAATTTGACAAAAATTGTCAGGCCAGCATGTTTGAGTGTAGAGCCTAGGGGAATGAAATGAATGAAATACTGAGTTAAAAGCAAATGTCTGCTTTTAACTGTTGAGTACAGATTTAAAGAATATCAGAAGCATATGCAGGAATTAAATGGGTCTAAGCAAATGAGTCCACGTAGCTTTGAAGCAGACAAGGATTTTGGACAAAGTTTGTTTGTCCTAAATACTTGGAAACAGTTGTGAACAGTAGTGAGGTGGTAGAGAAAGCCAGTTAATTGAGTGATTTTATATCTTTAGGAAAGGACCTGGGTTAATTGCAGAAGTTACCATTAGATAGTTTTTTCTCTAAGTATTTACTATTCAGATCTTGCAAAGCCATTTGTTTATATTGAATGAACGATGAAGTCTTTGGATTAGACTTATAAGTCTAATTTACAGTGTAGATCCTTGGGGTGTTAAAGAGTGATGCTTTTGCTCTAGGAAAACTTACTGGCAAATGACAGTAGTATTTGCAGACCCTTTTATTCATGGTCTTCCATTTTCTTCTGAGTAGTAGCCTTTTCCTTGGTATAAATAAACAACTGTGGAACTCAGGATGAGGAAAAGCACTTTCGGGATGATGGTGTTTTTGCCATTAGGAGCCAGACTTTCATCAAAATCATCTCATTTTAGTTTGTACCTCACCTTGCCTTTCTTTGTTCTTGGTGTCTTGAGTTAAGAGCCTCTCCGATTTCATTTTTCTAGATACTGTACCTTTGGAGTCCTTCAGTAGTGGGTAAGGGAATCTAGAAGGTTCTGACTGTTCCTTAGCCAGTTTTTTTCCCTTGGCCAGTTTTTTTTTTTTTTTTTTTAATCTTTGCCACACCTTTGTCTTCTTGGCTGCCTGTTCATTACAGGGTTCTGTGACTAAACCATCTTGCATTAGACTGTTATTCCCCCACCAGGCAGTTTGGTTTCAGGCTTTTCTATTCTGCCGAGTCACTTACCACTCTTTCATCCTCCTGCCACCATCTAAAAACATGTCACTGTCCTTACTTATTGTAGTTTCTGCTCATCATGAACCCTGTGGGGTTATTTCTTTGCTTTTTATATTTCTTTTCTCTCCTTTTAGTGGGAGTTCAGAAGGAGTCAGCAAATGTATATGTTTAGTACTAGAGTTGTTTTCACAATGTCAGTATGCTTCTAAGATAAATAACTTGATCATAAAGATTCAGTACAGTGTTGCAGCTGAATTTGAGAAATACCCATCTTTCTACAAAACTAAGACTGAACTCAACTATTAAGTATGTCCTTGTTTTCTGGAAACATTGTCATCTTATTTTTTCTGGCAGTATTCTTTAATTTAGACCTCATAAATTTCAGGGAGAGTGAGACGTTTTGGTAACTTACTCCACGTTCAAAAAATTTTTCAACCTAAGAAGGTGACTCTCCTGAAGACCTGTCACTTAGATTGTAGGATTTTTTTCTTAATTAGTCCTAAGTATTTGACTTAAAACTGCATACATAGCCCTGGCTTGGTGGCTCAGTTGGTTGGAGCATTGTCCTGTATGGACAACAAAAGTTTGCAGGTTTGATTCCTGATCAGGGGACATGCCTAGGTTGTGGGTTCAATGCCCGGTCAGGGTGCGTACAGGAGGCAGCTGATCGATCTCACATCAGTGTTTCTCTCTCTCTTTCTCTGCTTTCTTCTCTCTCTAAAAATCAATAAACATATCCTCGGATGAGAATTAAAAAAGACTGCATACATCTTTCAAATTCTAGAGAGATCGAGGTACTTTTTTGTTTCCATACAATGAGCCAACTGATTCATGAAATCTTATGTAAAAATGACATTTTATTTTTTGAATAGCAGTTTTATGGTTAGACAAAGAAAATAACATTTAGAGAGAAAAGATCATCATTTGCCTAAACATTTTCTATCCTGCTTTACAGGAGTGTAATGCTGTAAAATGACTTTATTCTTCTACTAAGATGTATTTATAATTTGCACCCTTTAAAGCTCTAACGGTACTGGAACCAGTTGGAAATAAAGGGTTTTTTTTATAGTAAAAAGTTATTTAATTGGTATCAGCATATCAGTTTGTATCTGCACTTGCGTGGGTGGACTTTGGCAAACATTATCAAACTACAGAAATCCCATCATCTTTTCATTGTATGCTTAAGGAATGTTTTGATTTTAGAAAGTAGTTCTCTGAACATAATGTAGAATTTTTTGTTGCTTCATGATTTGCTATAAATGGTCATTAACATTTGTTATAGTTGTTCTGTTTCTGTTTTTGTGATCTTAGTATTTCCTTTAGAGAAACCAAGTTGAGTTTTCTAATGTATACATGTGAAATTTTCATTTCCTTGTTTCATATCTCTTCAGTGTCTTTCTTTTAGATTTAGGATTAAGTCCAAACTCCCAAATGTAGGTTTGCCTACCCAGGCCTACCATAATTGTTCCTTATCCTCATCCCTTAGTCTCCTTTTAGAACTCCTTGATCCAGCTGTTCACTGTTCAGTAACAATTTTTTTTTTTTAGAGGCTGGGAGTGGGGGAGAAAAAGAGGGAGAGAAATATGGATCAGTTGCCTCTTGTACTCACCCTCAACTTAGGCATATGCCCTGACCAGGAATCAAACCAACAACTGTCCTTTCACTTTGCAGGATGACTCCCAGCAAACTGAGCCACACCAGCCAGGGCCAGACATTTTTCAGTGTCTTGGAAACACCTTTCTCCCTCTGGCTTCGGAGTCCTGGTATACAGGCTCTTCCCTCTACCTAGAACACTTGCTCCCTGCCTCTTACTTTCTTAGAGTTGATTTTTAATCTCTTTTTGATTATATTATAAAAATAAACTCCTAGATAATTTAGCCCCAATCCTCCCAGATCTTTTTTAAATGTTTCTGTAATACTGGGAACTATGCGTTTATCATCAGGGATGTTTGCCCCACCCTAGCTCTGGCCCTACTTATGTATCTATGTACTTTTTAAAGATTTTATTTATTTATTTGTAGAGGAAAGGGAAGGGAGAGGAAAAAGAGGGAGAGAAACATCAATGTGTAGCTTCTCACATACCCCACTATGGGGACTGGGGACCTGGCCTGCAACCCAGGCATGTGCCCATGGCTGGGAATTGAACCAGCAATGCTTCAGTTTGCAGGCTGGCGCTCAATCCACTGAGCCACAGCAGCCAGGGCATTAAGTAAAATTTTATATTGAAATAAATTCATGCTCATTTGTTTACAAATTGTTTGTAACTGATTTGGTGTGTTGAATAGTTGCAACTGAGACCTTATGGCCCACAAAGCCTTAAATATTTACTGTCTGGTTCTTCGCAGAAAAAGATTGCCGCTGCCTTGTATTCTCATTGCTTGTTTAATTAGGATGGACAGGTATTTAGATTTCCAGTTTCAGCACTGGAGATCAACTTCGAAAACTCACTGTTGTTAAATGCTGATAAGTATTTTTAACAAAGGAAATAAATGTAGGTTTATTAATAAATAAAATTAGACGATAGAGATATTTGTCTTTACTGATTGCATCTTTATTTCAACCAGATATATTACTATGGCTTCAGTTGTCTGTATGCAAGGAGTATAATGTTAAAACTAGGAACTATCTTGAGCTAGTAATTCTTGCAGTATCTGATAGATATATCTGTATTTATATCAGTTTTAAATAGTCTGTGAGTTCAGTGGCATCTTATGACACAGTACACAGTTTAAGGGACTCAAGTATAAATAATTTTCTTAAACTACTAATAAGTGTTTTCTTGACATTTTATTATTTTAAAAATGTGTGGACGCATTTCTTGGAAAAAAAGAAGCAGCACAAAAATAGACAAGTGTGAGAACTTTACATTGATTTTATATTATTAAATCTGTAAGGTAGAGATTTGGTATTGAATGCATTTTTTAAATGAATTTTTTAAGATTTTATTTATTTTTAGAGAGAGGAGGGAGGGAGAAAGAGAGAGAGAGAGAAACATCAATGTGCCGTTGCTGGGGGCTGTTGTCTGCAACCTAGGCATCTACCCTGACTGGGAATCAAACCTGTGATGCTTTGGTTCGCAGCCCGCGCTCAATCCACTGAGCTACACCAGCCAGGGCTAATGCATTTTTTTTTAAAGGGTGCTAGAAGTGGCAAGTGTATAAGTAAATCCTGAGATTCACTGGTTCACTTTCAGTCTACAAGGTCAGTACATTTGGTTGTGCCGTCCTTTATAGATTCTAACTGTGTCAGGCAGGGTTCTCCAGAAAAAAGAAGTGTATGTGTGGAGAGAGAGGAGAGATGTGTGTTTGTGTGTATATATACATACACACAAGAGATTTTAAGGAATTGGCTCATATGATTGTAGGGACTGGCAAGTTTTAATTTTGTAGGGCAAGCTGAAACTCAGGATTTTTATGTTGCAGTATTTTTTGAAAAAACTTATTTTTATTACAGTTCATATATAATATTAGTTTTAAGTGTACAACATAGTGATTTATCATTTATATACCTTACAGAGTGACCACCACAATAAATCTAGTAACCATCTGTCACTGTACATAGTTATGACAATATTATTGACTTTATTCCCTGTACTCTACGTTACATTCCTTTGATCTATTAACTGGAAGTTTGTACTTCTTAATCCACTTACCTTTTCTGCCTAGGCCCCCAAGCCGCTCTGCAACCATCATTTTGTATCTATGAGTTTGTTTGTTTCATTTTGTTCATACATTTTGTTTTTTAGATTCTACAAATAAGCAAAATTGAATGATATTTGTTTTTCTCAGCCCAACTTTTCACTTAATAAGATTCTACTAGAGGTGTCCAACCTTTTGGCATCTCTGGACCACACTGGAAGAAGAGGAGTTGTGGGCCACACACTAAACACATAAATATTAGTGAAAACTGATGGGCAAAAAAAAAAAGGTTTTAAGTAAATTTATGATTTTCTGTTGGGCCACATTCATAGCCATCCTGGGCCCCATGTGGCTTACAGACTGTGGGTCAGACACCCCTGGGGGTCCATCCATATTGTCACAAATGGCAAGATTTTATTCTTTTTGTTGATGTCTGAGTAGTATTCCATTGTATATATGTACTACACTTTCTTTTTCCATTCATCTGTTGGTGGATAGTCTTGAACCAGGATTTTTTCATTTCAGGGAAACCTTAGTTTTGCTCTGGAGACTTGCAGCTGATTGAATGAAGCCCAACACACCTGCAGGGGTGTACGGCCTTTTGGTGTCTCTGGGCCACACTGGAAGAAGAGTTGTCTTTGGCCACACACTAAATACACAAACACTAACGAAAACAAAACAATTTCATTATGTTTTATTGTGTTGGGCTGCATTCATAGCCATCCTGGGCCCATGCAGCCTGCAGGCCATGGGTTGGACACCCCTAGATTTAGTCAACTCATTGTAAATGTTAATCAGATGTACAGAATACTTATTTTTACAGCAGCATCTAGACTGGTGTTTGAACAAACAACTGGACTACTTAGCCTAGCTGAGTTGAACGAGTCTATTTAGTTCTCAGAATTATTTGGCTCTCAAGATGGTTTCGAGTCAAATTCTAGTTTGCTTAAATTATTTCTTTCTGGCTCAAGGCTTGCCCTCGATTCTTATATTCTAATTCTGTGGTTTGCTGGAATTGAACTTCAGCCATGCACGAGGTTTTAGCCTGTAACAGTACTTATGCACAAGTAAATACTATTTCAGATGTTTGAGATGCCTCTCGGTCTTTCTTTCAGATGGACCAGCTCTTGGGAAATATGATTGAAATGTGGGTTGATCGCATGGACAACATTACCCAGCCTGAAAGAAGAAAACTTTCAGCTTTGGCTTTGCTTTCTCTTCTACCATCTGATAATAGGTGAGGAAACAGTTTCATAAAATTTGTTTCTTCAAAGTGTCAAAATACTAGCTTTGTGCACTGTTTTGGCCGTTCGGTATTGCTGTGCGTTTCTGGGCCGTGTTGCTTAATGTGTCTATGCTAATTTTGTTAGTAGTTAACGATGTGGCAAGTGTTAGTCTAGATCTAAAAATATGTGGATGGAAGTGATGGGCACTGCAATTCAATGGTCATATTCATTTTACCAATTTATTTGATTCTTGTTTGAATTTCCATTTTTTTAATAATAACCAGATTTTATTAGACATATTTTAGGTCCTCTTTTTATATCAATATATGAAACATATAATCTTTTCAATGTCAATAGCACTGTATGAATTATCCTCCTGGTAATTCAAAAGTATCTTACATAATATTTATTTGTTTTGGGATATGTATAAAGAAGCTTGCACGTTCTTTCCTTCTGACAAAAATGAAATCATTATATTATACTTTACAAACTGTTAAAATTTCCATTTCTGTAAAGCAAATACAGATTGCTTTGATTTGGAAATTAAAGTAAGAATATGTTTTGTTTGCTTTTATGCCTAGCTTTGTGGAGTTGGCATTATATGTCCCCCTTTTTGCAGCTTTGAATTTTAAAGGTGTAAAGATGGGCCTTAAGACTTAACACTGTGGGAAGAATAATGATTATATATTGGATCTTTGTCTTAGGGAATTTTTAGAGCACATGCATCCTAGTGATAAAATAAATCCAGTTAGCTTCAGGAATCCTTTATAAAAATATATGTATTATTTATTTTTGTCACGGTAATCTGGATTAAGTACATAGAGAGTTTTGTCCTCACACCATAACAATAGTTAATAAGTATTGAGCACTTACTTATATTTTGCTAAGTGCTTTGCACTTAATGTCATTTAATTTTAAAACAGTCCTGAGGTATAGGTATAATTATCTTCTTTTTATAGAGCAAATAAATAGCTTAAAAACATTAAGTAACTTGCCTGGGGTCTGGCATGCAGCATGTCACAGAGCAACTAGAAGCCAGGGCTTGTTCTTTCTTTCTTTTTTTTTTAATCCTCATCCAAAGATACATTTATTGACTTGAGAGCCAGAGACATCGATGTTAGAGAAAAACATCAGTGTGAAAGAGAAACATTGATTTACTGTCTTCCTCGTGTACCCCAATCTGGGATTGAACCCACAACCATTTTTAATGTATGAAGCGATGCTCCAACTAACAGCCACCTGGCCAGGGCCAGCGATTGGTCTTTTAAATACCAGGTGGTGCTGCTTCTCAGGGGGACTTGCATAAAAGTTTCCTATTTCCTCGCTGTGAAATTGAGTGGCATCTTGCTTATTTTTGAAGTCAAATTCAAGCTACCTATATTTTAACTTATTTGCTGTTTTTCTTTTTCTTAGTGAAAAAAACTTGAGGATTATTCAGGCATTTTAAAATGAAATGCTAAAGAACCTGGTCTTTGGCAGTAGTCAACATTCTGTAAACATTTCTTGAAAAAATTAATGAATGGAAAAATATTCAAGTTAAAGAGCATGTTAAAGTAGAGATTATTGAGGGTACACTAAAAATGATATAGGTTAAGAAACATTTTTTATGAGAATACTGTTTGCTTCATTATTTAATTTTATGTAAATGTACAGTTCAAAAATATTTTACATGTATTAGTTGTGGAAATAGTTGGCTTCCGCGAGGTAAATATAAGGCTTTTACAAGTCTAAGGCATGCTTAGATGGGGGCTATGTCAATCTATGTAAATTGAGGGGCAGACGTTAATAAGGCTAGAAATTCTCTTAAACATTGACATTTCAGACCTAAAGGTTGTGAGAGGGAGCTTTGTGATAGGAAGATCAGGTCTTAATTTTGTTTTTAAAATGAACTAAATATTAAAAAAACTACTGTGGAGTAGTGAATTCATGTCATTTTATGGGTACCAAGAAAATCTTGAATAATGTAATAGAGAATTTTAAAGAGTAATGATTTAATTTTAAAATGTTCTTAATTACTTGACTAAAGAAGCATTGACAGATACAGAAAATGTAATGATCTGAAAAACAAAAAAAAATCTGAATTGCTCTAGAAGTTTGCCATATAGTCATTGGTCCATGACATAACTTAGAAAGATTTATATTCACATAATTTAATGGAAGATAGTGTTGACATGGAAGTCAGCAGTTTTATCATTTCCTGTTATAGACTTTCTTCTACTTAGAATTACATAGTTGAAGTTTGGGGAAAGTGTTCTCCCTTCCACATCTCCAGTTTCCTGCTTAATTTCCCATGTAATAGTACTTTCCTGTTTCTGTGTTTCATTTAGACTTTGCTGTAAAACTTCTTCCTTGCTTGAAGTAAGCAGGTCTAGAGAATAATGTTGGAAATGATTTTCTTATCAGGCTAAATTAGGAAATGTTACTTTCTTCTCCTTTCATCATAATGGATTTTCAAGTGCAGAAATACGCTGTTCTAAAGCGGGATTTCTAAACCACAGTACTAGTGACCTTGGGCCAGGTGATTATTTGTTACGGGACTGTCCTACTCGGGTATAGGGTGTTTAGCAGCATCCTCCTGGTTTCTGCCCACTAGATGTGCTTAGTAGAACCTCCCATGTCCAGTTTAGAATCACTGCTGTAAAGAATGACCATTTGGGAAACTACTAAACTCTTTTGCCCTAAGCCACAACTTCAGAAATTTGATAAAGACTGTAGACTTGATAACCCTACTCAAATCCCAGTGCCATTCACTTGTGAATGACTGCGGCCAAGTAACTTCTCTGTGCCTAAGTTTAGTGTTTTTAAAATCAAGAGTCTAATCGTGTCTTTCTGATGAGGGTATTGTAAAGATTCAGTGAGTTGACATATGTAACATCAAACTGTCTGGATAAAGTTAGGTGTTTTTATTTTATTCCTTTTTTCCTCTCTTCCTCATTCATCCATCTATTATCCAATTACTTTAATACAAAGTTCTGAAAGCTTGAGTCACTGTACATGCATTCATGTTAAATTCACTACATTTTGAGTATCTGTATACTTGTTTATTAATTCATTTAAAAAATGTTTTAACCTAACTACCTATGTCCTAAGGAATGTCACCATCTGCTTGATGATATTTTACAGTATTATGCATTATTACCAACTTAATGACACATGAATTTGCTTTTGTTTACTCCATGCGGTCTTGTTATATCTTCTTGGTCACTTTCTGAATGTAGTGCAATCTTTTTTTTAATTGCGCAGTACAGTTGTCTCTTTTTGTTTTACTATTTCCTTAGGTGTAATAATTCCAACTTTGAATTTTCTCCCTTTCTTAAGGTCCATAATATTTCTACATAGAGGGAGTAAAGGTTTCTGTAGCTAATTTTTATATGAAAATAACATTATTTACATACACACCTTTGAACGTTTTCCAAAGCGTTTCCCTCCAAAGGCATAGATTAAACTTCAGTCTAGGGTCAGGTGTGGCATGTCACTGCTGTGTCTTTGTGGTCTCTCTCACTCTTTAATGTCATTTCCTGAGCCTTTCTTTTTCCCTAACGGGTAACATTTTTGAAGAATACAGTCCTTTTCTATCTATCCTTCTCTCCCTTCCCTCACCTCTTCCCTGTATTCATCCCTCACTCCCTCTGTCTCGACAGAATAAAATGTTCCTCACTGAGGTGTTTCTGATGTTTCCTCATGATTAGATTCAGGTTGGAATATTTCATAAGTGCTGTCATGTCTTTTCTGAAATACAACATCTGGCAGCACATGGTGTCCATCTGCTTCTGGTTAATGATGCTGATTCTAGTCAAGGTGTTGTCTGATTTCCTCACTTCATAGTTACTATTTTTTCTTGCAACCAAATAGCAGTCTGTATCGAGATACTGCTTCTCATTAAAATTTCACCTGACATTGACCAAAATGATATTTTTTTTATTGTTACTGGGCTATTTTTAATTGTAAACACCATTTTAAATTTTGACTTTTGGGTCCATAAATAACTTTTAAGATCCATAAGATTAGTGACTTCTGTTGTAAACCATTCTTTATATGTAAACCCACCTTAATTGTTTTATACATAGATGCTGTATCTCTAAATAATATAGATGGTATATACTTAAAATATGGTACTAAAACAGTTGTTCTCTTATTTATGCATTCTCGCACTTGTAATGGAATTTCTGAATGGAAAAGAAAATAGATCTTTGTCAATTCTTGAAGCATGCAAATATTTGAAGACAAAGATAGAATAAAAGAAGAAAGAGAGAAAAATAAATCAGTGAATGAGATAATTTCCTGAAAAGAAAATCGAGGGCGCCCATTTAGGAGGCTGAATGCAATGTTCAGAAATAGTTCTAATGAAAACTAGTAGGAATCAGAAAAGGAATGTGAGGAACCATTTTGATGTGTTATATTCCAGAGCAAAACCAAAATGTCAGAATTCAGATTGTGGAGAATTATTATAAATTGGAGATCATATAAAGACTTTACTTAACATGTTATAGGATTTAAAGTTCATGAGATTATAAATTCCCTAAGTAATGTGAATTGCTGCAAATGGCAGTACTTAATCAAACCACAGGGAAGCCGGGAAACTTTTGAGTTCTAATGTCAAATTTGAGTAGTGCTGTGATCATAGCAAGCAGGACAGCAGAGTTTCTAAATTCCATTCCTGCATTAATAGAAAGGCTAAACTTTGTTTATCTAGATATCGGAATTTTGCTATATATCAACTTGAGAGCATAAAATGTATTATTTGCATTTGTTATTTTTATAGTCACTTTAGTTTACTGCAGTTTACTTCAGTTTTTATGGTATACGGGTTTCATTTTTTTCTCTCAGTTTTCCTTGATGTAATTTTCTAAGCTCTAATAAATAATTTTATCAGATTTGGATATTTCTGGAACAATGGAGAAGGTTAATTAATGTTCCTATTTTATTACCTTGGAGGTTTTTCTCTTTAAACTTTATTTTGATTTTGATGCATAATATCTCTGACTTTTGTTAACCTCTAAGGGAAGAAAAGGTTTTCCTTCACTTTCTCAGAGCAGCTGCAAGAATTTGAGACATACAATACCTGACTATTAAAATACACAATACCTGGGATTTAGTCAGGGGCACTGACCTGTCTTCCCTTAGATTGTCAAATAAGAAAACGACCACAGCCAAACACCACAATGGCCATCTGGTGTGAACGAATCAAAATTATACCCTTTTTTTGTCAGATCAGCAAAAAATACATTTTTTGGTGTGCCACAGAATTTTAGTAATTTATGTGTGCTGCAAGATGAGAGAGGTTGAAAATCGATGACTTAGAGTCCCTACCTTGGTCCGGAAATTAAATTAATGAAGACAAGGTCTATAGGAGAAAAGCATACAAATTTAATGTTTTGCATGACACAGGAACCTTCACGAGGAAAGGAAGACCTGAAAAATTGTTAAACCTGTGAGTTGTTATGCTAGGTTTGATGTAGAGTGGATGCAAAGTTGGGGAAAGATACAAGGACAAAGGGTAAGAGATAAGTGTAGTAAAGCTGGGGATCTTTTCGTTTGTATTCTGTTCGGAGTCCTTTTGTCTTTGGAGATAAGTGTGCTCTTTTCCTCCCACTGTAGAGAGGGCACCTCCCCCATGAAGGTTTTGTAACCTGTTTCAGGGGTGAAGGGAAAGAGGGTATGGGGATGTAGCTGGGAGTTGGGAAGCTCAGAGAGAGATCTTCCTACTTCTGCTATCTTCTTAAACATTTTTAGCTTAAAGTATTCAGTATGCCAAGGTGCTGTGTTTGGGGGTAGTGTGTCCTGAACCCCATCACAACTCTTCAGTTGTATGATAAACAGTTGAAAAACCCATGAGGCATACTTTATCTCACTTTGTATGTTACTGGAAATACGAAACAAAACGGACTTGAGGAACGTAGCTCCTGTGCCATCTTTACCTAATTCATGTCATTTTTCTGTCATTTGTTGTTTTTTTGTTGTTTTCGTATTTCTGTATTCATAAAATAAAAATAAGAATAGCCACCCACAAAGGGCATTTGTGAGAAATGAATCATTTGATAAAGATCTTTTATTAAGTGTGTACCTCTAATTTTGTTATTATCATAGAAGGATGATGCTTGGTATTACACAAAGTATTTCATATGGAAATAATTCATATTATTATCTGAAGTAATTATCTTTTTTTAAAGATTTTATTTAATTTTAGAGAGAGGAAGAGAGGGAGAAAGAGGGAGAGAAACATCAGGATATAGTGGGTTGCCTCTCTTACACCCCCTAGTGGGGACCTAGCCCTGACCGGGAACTGAACGGATGACCCTTTGGCTCATAGGCCAGCACTCAACCCACAGAGCCACACCAGCCAGGGCTACAGTAATTGCCTTGATGTGAAGTAAAGCTGCTTTAATACTGAAAGGAAATTGTAATGTACAATTATATTATCACTGATATTTTAAGTGTATTGTTAGAGTATTGGTAATGTTAATAAAAGTCAGAATTAGAAATCCTAAGCAATCAGCTTTTTTTTGAAAATTATGACTAAACAATATACAATATAATTTATAATCAAATACCATATGATCTCACCTTTAATAGGAACCCAAACAACAAAACAAACAAACAAGGAAAATATAACCAAAGACACTGAAATAGAGAATAGGCTGACAGTGACCAGAGGGGAGAGGGGAGGGAATTTCAGGGGGAAAGGGGAAGGGTTTACAAGAACAAGTATAAAGGACACATGGACAAAAACTAGGGGGGGTGGAAATGGGAGGGAGGTGGGGAGGGCTGGGATGGGAATAAAAGAAAACTATATTTGAACAACAATTAAAATAAAAAGATATTTCACAGTAAAAAAAATAATTTATTATCAATTCTTTAAATCCTTACCTTGAAATATTATATTATATGCATTTACATTAAAAGACTTAAAACTAAGCCCTAACTGGTGTGGCTGAGTGGATTGAGCACGGGCCTGTGAACCAAAAGACTTAAAACTAATTCACATGTATATATAGTAAAATGTCATTAAAGGGACTCTTTTACTCTTCTCAACTTTTCTTGCCAAAAGGTAGCCTCCGTCAGTAGTTTGGTGTACACCTGGTATCATTGTACACCCTAAGGTACATTACTGAAGTACACATGGTGGGGCAAAGGTAGGTTTACAATTGTTTGTGTGGAAAATAATATAATAATTAAGTATTAATAATACAAGAATAATCTGTGTTTCACATACTCAAAGCTGTAAACCAACTTTTGTCCCACCCTGTAGTAAGGCACTAATTGGTAATATTTAATATTTTTTATACTCTCGACTTCTTTTTGAAAAATTAAAAAGAAGACCATAGAGGATAGTGTAACATTTGTGTTCACTATTCTAAATTGCTTGCTGTTTTGCTACCTGTTCTTTTAAGGTTCTAATATGTATTCAAAACAATCTGAATATTTTACTCATTTAAAAATTCACAAAAGTAATTATTCTATTTACATTTCATTTCAACTTACTTTTTCCACTCAGTAGCTATCTGTTGTTGATGTAAATTGTTCATTCTAAAAATTTTAAGTTTTTAGGGTTTTGGGGTTTTTCTTTTCAAAAAAGTACTTATTTTTAAAATTATGCAGTATTTAGGGGTATGCATTAGGAAAACTCAAATTAACTGCATTCTGAAAAATAAGTTCCTGAGATTTCCTTTCAACAATACTTTTGAAACACAGATAAAATTACTTCCTGTCTCTCAGTTTCCTGTCTCCATGGCAACCTCTGTTTTACACACTGACTGTAGAGGAACCAATGTGAAGAGTGGTGTTTCCTGAGCAAACAGTGACTTTTGAAAAAAAAAGGTGGAGGGCTGGAGGTCAGCGGTACCACAGAAAGAAATGGAGTTTAGAAATTTCTTCAGATTTAGAAAGAAAACCTTTGCTTGAATCAGCCGGGTGTTAATAATATGAATTTCCTGTTCTTGGTAAGATTATTGATTTAAATATGAACTTTAGTTGAAACAAAAAATAATTTGATTTGTAAAAAACTAGTTTCAAGAGAGTTTAATTGTTCTGCAATTTATATTTTATTTAATTGATATTAGACTTTAAGTTAATAAAGGGATGCACTATATCTAAAGACTGGTTGGTATTCCTGCATCATCATTGTTCACTTGTTATAGTAAATTGTAATATTTTCAGTGAACTTAGTAAACATTTTATTTTGCAGTTCATTAAATTTGAATTATTATTTTATCAAACAATGGGTTAATGGCATAGAGGTGTTAATAAGTCTAGAACATACTCCAAACTCATTATTTTACACTATCATCTTAGTATGATTTATGATACATAGTAAGAACTTTTTGAAGATTTAAAGTTTTATCTTCTCTTTCTATAGCCTTTTCTGATATAAGCAGAAAAAAGCAAGAACAGGGCTTTGTGTGTGTGGCATTTTTCTGTGCTTTGCCTGTGACTCTTTCTTCTTGATACCTGTAATCTTGTATTATTATTCCATAAAAAGATACTTGGACGTGCATCCGTTTATCAGCTCTGCGCTAGGAGATGAATTAAGTGCCATAACTCAGGCCTTTGAAATATTCCTAAGAATCTTCCTGAAGGTACAGATCTTCTGTATCTGACTGGAAATAATTGATCTTATATACTCCTAAATGTAAGTGAATTACTGGGACTTCATTCCCTGGTAGCATTATAGTTGGATAACTAGTGGCATTGTGTATTTGTGTCCAAAAGCCTTTGTTTGTTTCAAGCACCTCTGTTTTCTATGTCTAAATGATAATTTTATGAAATACTTGGATCCTGGAATATTTGAGGGGCTTTCCAGTCTTCGTAATTTATATTTATAGTCTAATCCAGTATTCTTTGTTTCAAGAGGAGTGTTTAATGATCTAGTTTCAGTTTAGTACTTAACAGCTTTAAAGAAATCGCCTGCCTGTCCTTGGGAGTGGTTCATTGGTCGATACAATTGCACTTCAGGTACTTGATTTATCAAATGGTAGAATTTTGAGGATATCAGATGCAGACTTTCTGTATCTTGGAAGCCTGGATTATTTGTATCTAGAAGGTAATAATTTAACAAAAGTACCATCAAAAGCTTTTGAAGTACTTAAGAATCTTAAAGACTGTCTGTGCCTCATACCCATATTGAAGCAATACAGACTTTTGCATTTAAAGGACTTGTCTTTTGCATTTAAAGGACTTGTTGACTTGAAATAGTTGCTTCTGAAAAATTCGAGAATTAAAAATGTTACCAGGGATGAATTTAGTGGAATTAATAATCTTAAACATTTGATTTTAAGTCATACTAATTTAGAAAATTTAAATTCTGACACATTTACCTTGTTGAAGAATGTAATATACCTTAAGTTAAACAGAATAATCAGCATTGTTAATGATACATTTGAAAATATGGGAGCATCTTTGAAGATCCTTAATCCTGTCATTTAATAATCTTACAGACTTACATCCAAGGGTCCTTAAGCCATTGTCTTCATTGACTCATCTTCAGGCAAATTCTAATCCTTGGGAATGTAACTGCAAACTGTCGGGCCACGCGACTGGCTAGCATCTTCAGCCATTACCCTAAACATCCATTGTCAGAACCCCCCATCCATGCCTGGCAGTGCATTGCATTACATTACGCGGACAAACTTTACAGATCGCGGTACATCTTCGACAAACATATCCAGAGCTTGGGCTATAAAATCTCTTCATATTCATCACAAGACCACTGTGTTAATGATGGCCTGGCGTAAAGTAACCACAATTGGGGAACATTTGGAAAATGCTGAGAGCGTTACTTTCGGGGAACAAATTCATACTTCACCTGCCAGTAGACTTTTTCAAGAGAATACCTTTGGTAATCCACTAGAGACTACTGCAGTGTTACCTGTGCAAATACAGCTTACTTCTTCTGTTAACTTGAACTTGGAGAAAAACAGAGTTCTACCAGTTGACGATGCTTCAGTGTCAGGGAAAACATCTCTAATTTGTACGCAAGAAGTTGAAAGGTTAAATGAGGCTTTTGACATTTTGCTAGCTTTATTTATCTTAGCTTGTGTTTTGATCATGTTTTTGATCTACAAAGTTGTTCAGTTTAAACAAAAACTAAAGACACCAGAAAACTCGGGGGAAAATAGACTTGAATATTACAGCTTTTATCAGTCGGCGAGGTATAATGTGACTGCTTCAATTTGTAACACTTATCCAAATGCTCTTGAAAGCCCTGGTTTGGAGCAGATTCGACTTCATAAAGAAATTGTTCCTGAAAATGATGCACAGGTCATTCTCTTTGAACATTCTGCTTTATAATTCAACTCAGTAATGGCTGTAAGAAAACTTAAGTGCTGTGGACGTGAATAATGTTGAAGCCTCCTTGTAGAATTATAAACTTTATCTGGAAATATGATGAATTATATGAGCTTAGCATTAATAAATAATGTTTTTAATAACTTGTGAATACTGTATTTATTCAGCAGATATTTCCTTTGATAGATATGGAAGTAATAATAATAGCTAACATTTCTGCGTACCAAACACTATGCTAAATACTTTAGATATCACATTTAATCATTAAAAAGCCTTGTCAGGTAGCACTATCTATATTTTACAGGTAAGGAAACATAGGCAGAGGGAGTTTGAGAAACTCCCACATTCTTACACTTGTGACACTCCTTAGGTCTGCTTACAGAGCCCATGTTCTTAATTTCATGCTATACCGCTGTGTAGGTGATAGGATTATAATTGTGAATAACATAGACACTGTTCCTGGTCTTGGTAGAGCGGGAACACATGGTTACTGTGCAGTGTTCTAAATACTGCACTTGGAGTGCATTGGGCATAACGTGTGTGGAGGTGGGAGGTGGCTTTATGAGAAAAGCAGCATCAAAACTGGATCATGAAGGATGAATTGGAATTATCCCAGTGACTAGAGCTGAGTAACAGGTAGAGGTAACATCTTATCAGAAGGGTTGAAGGAAGAAATAGTACTGCTTTTCAAGAACTAAACTCCGGTACAACTGGAGTTGTGAGTGGTGACATGAGATGTGCAGCTAGAGAGGTATCCCATGATGAAGGATGGTGTAATTTTATGCTTTTCCCCTAAGGCAGCAGGGAGCCACGGAAGGATTTTAAGCAATGGAGTGACACAGTGAATTTATTTTTTAGTAAGTGCACGCTTTCTAAAAGGAGCAACATGAATAGAGGATGATTAATTGGGTAGGAATCTGAATCCTACCCAATTCAGGGCAGAGAGGATGGATTCTAGAGCTACTTTGGAAGTGGGATGAACTGATGTGGCAATTGGCTGAGGGGTGGCAGGTGAGGGAAAAATAAAAAATGTTAGATTTTCACTTAGGCAGCTCTCTGCTGCATTCCCTGAGCAAAGGAAGCAAAAGCAGTGGGGAGATAAGAGTGGGGGGCAGAATGAGTTCAATTTCAGATATATTGAATTTGAGATTCACATCAGATCTCCAAGTGGAAATATCCAGCAAGCAGAAGATGAGCAAGAGCTAGCTGGTAAAGGTGAACTTTAACCTTTCATCTGTCCAGTACTCTGAAATTATATGATACAGTCTTAACAGTAACAATAACCATTTTGGACCATGAGTTTGAGATACAGCTAAGTGAGGAAAAATAAGGTGAAAGAGCCCCTAGGATATGATAGTAGCCTCTATTGACAGTCTTTAATACAGATAGATGGCAATCGAAGTAATGGAGATGATGTAATGTTTTTCTCTATTAACATAAATTTATACTTGTATATCACTCTTCATAATATTAGGTATAGCAAGCACCCTTTCTTGATCTGCTAATAGTGGCCTGAACTACAAATATGTGTTAAATTTCCTCTCTGCGTTATGTGGTTTATGTTTGTGCTATTCTTTTATTCCCTCCCAATTTTTTTTTATCATTAAAAGGTAATACTGTCCCTATGAAATTAGTCTGGAACAATCCGGGAGTGTTTAAATCATGTGATAATTACCTGGTTTGTATTATGAAACTGAAATAATTATATGAAGGTGCTGTGTTCTCCAGTAAACATACAGTGCTTCTCAAACTCACAGTCACCTGGAAGCCTTGATAAAACACAGATTCTGTCCCCACTCGTTGCAGAATTCTGGATTCAGTAGGTCCGGAATGGGGCCTGTGAATTTGCATTTTAACAAGTTTGCTGAAGCTGCTGGTCTGGGCACCATGCTTTGAGAACCACTGCTGTAAGGTACTTGAGAACAGAGCATGAAGGAGCTTGGTGTAGTGGTTCTGGGTACACTAGAAATTGCAGAGAAGTTAAAGCTGCAGCTCTTTCTTCCCAAGAGTTTTCAGTGTTCTGCTTTTTCCCAACTAGCTTAAAGCTATGTATGTCCTTGATTGTGATTTTAGCAGAAAACCTGAATATATTTCTAAGGAATTTGTTCTTATTAAACAATTTGTTCTTATAAAACAATTACTTGTTTTATTATGGAAGAATATGTGGTGTTTGTTTCACCTTGAAAAATATTTTTAATAATACACTTTTTTGTTGTGTCTGCCCAAACCTTCACAAGTTTCTATTAGGTTTTTTTCTTTATTTACTAAAAGTACATATTTCATTAGAAAAAAAGAATTCAAACAATACAGGACTAATTAAAGTACAAGCTGAAAACTCCATGTCCCCCTTCCCTACCACCTAAGTCACATCTTTTTAAAGATGATTAGGAGTAGCATAGGTGACTATTTGAAGTTAAGAAAAACCTGTGTAACAAAATATTTATCTAGCTCTTAAAAATAATCCTCACCCAGTTTAAAGAAGATAATTTAGAAATTCTAACAATTTTTTTGTTTTTATATATAATTTCTAATTGATTTAGACTCAACTAGAAAATTCTAATCTTATTAACATCAGTTTCTGTATAGAACTATAGTTGTACACAGTGGTACTCATTAAGTGTTCATTCCAGTTTCTGTCAGTAGTCATTTCTTTTATTAATGTTAGCCAGCTCACATTTCACTGTTGTTTGATATTTGCAGTTTTTAAAAACTTAAGGTAAAATTGATTTGAAGTGATCTGTCCATAGAAGTTTTTCGCTATTATTTCTGTATTTTAATTTTTCAAACTTTTAAGCAGCACTGCCTTGAATAAAATAGTCAACACCAAATTATATAAAGAAGTTTACTCTTCAGGTTTTTGTATTTCTTTACCATTTCCTAGAGGTTCTTGATTAGAGCACCGAAAAACAGGTGGGCTCTAAGTTAATATGATTGTGTTTTAGAGGAATCGTTTTTAAATACATTTCCATTTTTTCCACTGAATTTTATAAGAAGTTGTTTAAGGTTCCAGGGTATACCCCCAAAATATCATTTGTCCCCATTCCTCCCCCCATCGCCATCCTTAACAAATGAGTATAGAACTCAACTACCATTTATTTATAATATTATAGCTTAGAAATGCACTCAGAATTCCAACATGGAATTTCAGGCACATGCCTCTCATTTCTGGGATAACTGGGGACATTCGGTGTCAGGTTGGCAGTGAGGGCTTCAGTGATGTGGGACAGAAACTCCAACAGGAATGAGCAGGAAACAGGAAGTTCCAGGTGATGGAGTGGAACTGCAGGGTAAGGGCCATCGGAGGTGTCTTGTAATCTTCTCAAAGGGAGGAATTGGCAGTGTTTTGATAGCTGGAGGCAAAGTACTGGTGCGGGGGGAGGAAAGCGGGGGGACATGGTCAAAGAGGGAGGGAATTGTGCAAAGCTCAGAAGTAAATAAGGAAGGAGGATCTCTGGATACCTCTTTGTTTTCCATCAACTTCTCATTCTTAGTGAGTCCTTGATTCCTCATACATAAAGTTCCAGGTTACTTTGTTCATTTACTTTGCTTCATGGCCACCTGTGTCTTGAGTCAGCAACAGTTGGACAGGTTTTTATTCCCTTCTATCCTATTGCCTTAAATACTTTGTTTGTAGAGATCCTTCAACTAGTAGTAGAATTTGTTCAGATATTAGCTACACTAATATTAATACATGATATTTACCATTTGACCACATACAATAGTTTTTAAAAACTTTTATTATTTTTGTAAGATTTTGTTTATTTTTAGGGAAGGTATAAGGGAAGGAGAAAGAGAGGAATAGAAACATCAGTGTGTAGTTGCCTCTCCCATGCCCCTTACTGGGGACCTGGCCTGCAACCCAGGCATATGCCCTAACAGGGGATCGAACTGGTGAACCTTGCGTTTGCAAGCTGGTGCTCAAGCCACTTAGCCAAAAAATATGGAACACTTGACGAATTTGCGTGTCATCCTTGCACAGGGGCCATGCCAGTCTTCTCTGTATTGTTTCAATTTTAGTATACGTGCTGCCGAAGTGAGCACAGAAAACTTTTATTGATGTATAAACCAGGTACAGTAGATACACCTGTGTAGCCACCGCTCAGGTCAAGAAATAGAACATTCAAATAAAACATATATGTGGACATTTCTTGAATTTAGGAGGTATATAAGCACCCAAGTGCTTAAGCTTTAAGGTGGAGGGGGAACCACATGTAATTAGGGCCTTATTTAATTGATTATCTTACTTGCATCACAACACCAACAGTAAAATTTGTTATATTTATTTTTGAGGGGTGTAAAAAGGGTAGAAGAAAACCTAGAGAACCTTCTACAGGACCCACAAGCATTAAAGTAGGGCTTTCCTACAAAGTTGTTCCTACATGCGCTTCCTCATGTTCTGTTGGGCTTATTGTTCTTCCTTGTTCTAAGGATCCCACTCCTTTACTGGTCTCCTGTTACTGAGCCAAACACTGGAAAACCTGCTGCATTGGACTGAGGGGGAGGAGAACGGAGTATGGGAAACTGAATAAAAGGCTGCTCCATTTAGTGCTTCGATTTTATTTCTACCCTCCCTCTCTAAGTAGGAACTCAATTTTTTTTCTCCTGATAAAACCCATTTTGTTTCTCATTAAAACTTAACATGTATTTTTTTCTCTTATTGCTTGGACTTACTGAAGATCCCTTAGGCAAGTAGGGAGAGAGATGCATCTGCTTTGGTGATGGGCCCATTTTTTCAGTCTTATACTGGCTCAAGCATAGTAGTTGTTCGTTTAAGTGCCTTCTACCCCTAGTCATCACTCTACTGGAAGTTAGTAGGCTCTCGTGGCTATACTCTTCTAATGTGGGAAGCCGTGTGGGTTAAAAGAGAAATTATCCTGGGCAAAGCAGCAGGGACGAGAGGAAGGCACAGTATTCCTGCTGCTGGCTCAGGTGTGCGTTGTTTCCTTGCTCCCGACTCCAGCGGCATCAGTGTGATACAGTGGAGGGCGCTCTGTTTTGGTGGAAGTAAGTAGTTCTCTGATCCCGAATAGTGTGGAGACCTTGTGCATATGTTACCTTCCTTCTGCCGCCATGTCTTCTCATATCGCTTGAGTTTCCAGTACCTGCGAATAAACTCTTGCCTGTTCTTAGATCATTGACTTTGGAAAATGTTAATACTTCTCGCTTAATACCTTTTATATAACATCCATTTCCTAGTCTCAATTCTAGCCTTAATACTTAAGTTTACATTTTTTAAATATTTTGTTTGAGATTCCATGGAGCAAAATTTTTTATGTTCTAGTATAATTTCATATTTTCACTTTTAAAACTCCTTATATTTATTCATCTGTGAAAGCCTCCTTAAGCACTGTTTTCTGGTCTTCTAGAATGGGCACCTGTGAGATAATACAAAATTGTCTGCCCTTCTGATCCTCCCAGACCTTGTCCTATGTATATCTTTATCTGGCTCTTCATTAATATCCTTTAATACGCTGGTAAGTGTGTTTCTTTGAGTTCTGTGAGCCGCTCTAGCAAAATAATTGAACTCAAGGAGGGTGTCATTGGAACCTCTGATTTGCCAGTTGGTCAGAAGCACAGGTGATACACCTGGGCTTGGGACAGGCATCTGAAGTGGACCGTAGTGGGGGGCCGTCTTGTGGGACTGAGCCCTTAACCGTGGGATCTGACACTGTCTCCAGGTAATGTTAGAAATGAGCTAAATTGTAGGGTATCCCCCTGGTGTCACAGAATCGCTTGCTGCAGAGAGCCCCTCCCCACACACGCACATTCGGTGACCAGAAGTAAAGCATGTGTGGGTAGTAAGGAGACTCACAGGAGAGAAACACAGTAGGGGAGAAACAGAACAGGGTTTTTTCCTACTCGGGAAGGAGAACCTGAGTTGTTTTGTTGTTTTTTTTTTCCATTCTAGGATCATACTCCTTACTCTAAATACAACTAACCAAGGAAATTGAGGCAATAGACTTAACTAGAAGGCGAAATTCTGCAATTAAAGCTGCAAGGCTAGAAATTGTCAAAAAGAAAGTTGGTATAGCTGGAGAGTAGTATGAAAAGTTAAATATAAGAGAGAGGTAGGCAGCAGCCAGGTCAAACAGGGCTGAGTAAACTATGCTTAGAAATTTGAAGTTTTAAGTGTAAGGGGAAGTTATCGAAGGTAAATTCTTGCTTTAAAAAGCAAGGGAGCCCTGGCTGGCATAGCTCAGTGGATTGAGCGCGGACTGCGAACCAAAGCATCGCAGGTTCGATTCCCAGTCAGGGCACATGCCTGGGTTGCAAGCCATAGCCCCCAGCAACTGCACATTGATGTTTTTTTTTTCTCTCTCTCTCTTTCTCCCTCCCTTCCCTCTCTAAATATAAATAAAATATTTTTAAAAAAATCAAGGGAGACCTGGTAAGACCTTGCAAAAGAGCACTCTGGTCTGCTCTGCAGAAAACGAATTGGAGGAAGCTGGGAGTGGAAGTGTCTCTATTTGGGGAGTTATGCAAGTGGTACAAACTGGAGTCAGATTTGACTTGTGCACAGTGTCCGTTACGGAGATAGAGACAAGCAGAAATTCAGAGATAAATGTGACAGTGTGACGATGAATTGGGGGTTGGAAGAGTACCTGAGAACAAAGGTCAAAACTGAATGCCAGGTTTCTGGCTTTAGTCACTAGCTAGATAGAATTACTCTTTCTTCAGATAAGGACAACTGGAAGAGAACCTGGTTTTGATTTTGTTTTGGTTGGTTTCTCTGTTTTTGTGGGGGATACACTCACAAGTTTGGTGTTAGATTATCTTAAGTTTGGGTTGCCTGTGAGACTGCCAAGAGAGGATGAGAAGGATGCAGATGTACTTGGGGTTTCCAGACTCCAAGGGGTCATCGTATGTGCAAGCAGTGTTGAGGTGGAATTTGGCGTTGAACCTGCACAGGCGGGTTTAACTGTAATATTTTCCCCATAAGAAAAATATATGTAAGGTTTTTTGGTCAGCTTGAATTCATTATACGTCAGATTTCTACTGTATTAAGTTGTTAGTGTAATTGCATGGACATACTCTAAAATAAAGTAAAATATTACTCTAGGGAGATTTTTCTCATTTTTTTCATGATAGTTTTATTCAAATGCTTCATATAAATTTTTGACGTCAGCATGTCTATTGTTAACAGTCCCCTTTTCATCCTATAACACGGTTTTCCCAGCACGTTATTTTCATTTTGGTCTGAGCTTTGTGGCATTGGCATGCAGCTCTTCCCAGGAACTTAGCTCCAGGCCACAAGAACCATTTCATGTAAGTGGAATGGCATTAGCACAGTCAGCTTAAAAAAAAATTGTCCTGAAGGTATATATTCATGATTACTTTGTAATTATTTATTGCACAGCTTTGTTTTCGGCAATGTCCAACATATACAGTGGTGAGGTTATACCTCAGCCCCATAATTACCAAATCTTTAGTAAATTCTTTTGCATTCCTTTTTACAAAACAAGAATCAGCCTGTCAAGTGACTTCTGTAATCATCCAAAACAAGCATTGATTGGTTCTGTTTCAGCCAAATGTCTTTTCCAAATAGTTCTGTACCAGTCACTGATCATCTCCTTTTTTAATGGTGTCGTAGTATGTCTTCATGGGGCAATGTTTAAAGCACATCAGTCGCAGCTTCTTGTAGAGATCATTGCAGTTATTTTTTATTGTCTTAATGGCGTTTTTCCCCTTGTGTATGTACACTGAAAGTTATTTAGTAGAATGGTTTTATAATATAAAAACCTTTGTAAAGATCATTGTTGGGTGTAAAAACTGCAAGTTTTATTTTAAAATACTTAGTGAATTTCCACTATGAATTTTTTTATTCCATTTCCTTGCTCATATTTTTCAGGGCATCTAGATTTATTAATAAAATTTTCCATGACCATGCAGAGAATGCCTGTGTAGAAAGGATATGTTTCCATTTAAGTGACAAAAGTATTTGCAGTCTTGGTCCTGGAAAATGTCTAGAGGGGGAAAAAACAAACTAATTTTAGTGTAAATGTCACCACTCTGCAGCCTCTGATGTCATAGAAATCTTGTAGTAAGACTGATAAATCAAGGCTGTTTCTTTTGCCATTTCCTTTGAATAAACTCTTGCTCTTTGCTGCATCCTGGTAAACCACATAAGCAGAAGAGTATAGCCAAGAGAGTATTTTATTTGGTTGTGGCTTTTAGTGCTTAAAAACTTTTTATTTTCTTAAATTATCATAATTTGACTGACCACCTGTATTTAAGATATAACAATGTGAAAATAACTTCAAATATTAATTGTGGTATACAAATAGTATAACTGTTGTCTGGTTAGATCTGAAAAATTTTAAAGTGATTTATTTTTCTCTTGGGCCTGCAACTATGAAAAACTGTGAATCAGCAATTTATATTATGAAGCTGTTCAAAAAAGGTAACTGAAAAGTTTGTTTGTTTCTGCATTCCTGCTCTCCTTCTCTGTCCAAGGGGATGAAGGTGTGATGCAGATAGGTGAATCCATCACAGCGAAGAGATTTCAGGCACATGACCTATGACGATGGATCAGTTATATAAAAAAATGGAAATGTAAAATGCTCACTAGAAAAATGCTAATAAATATTGGGAAGGAAGAAAGAAGCTAAACTTCCCATTTAATCTAATGTTTACTATTTAGGTTAACTAAATGAATATTAGAATATTTCATTTATTTGTGCCCTTGGGGATTAATTTTTTTTTCTTTCTAAAGGCATTTTGTTTTCTGAACATTTGTGGTTGGGTTTGCAATGATACAAAAGGTCAAATAGTTTTAAGTCTGCATGGTTTTTTAAGTTGGGTGAATGAACACAAGGAAGATGGATTGATTTTTAAGTACATATTTTTTAAAGCAAGGAAAAAAACACTTTTCATAAAGTTTCTGCAATTCATATACTTTACAGATACTTTTACATACCCAGAAAAGGCCTTAAAATATCATACTTTTAGGAACTAAGTCAAGATTAAGAACTATAATTTTACTCATGCACATTTGACTAAAAAGTTTACTGAAAACTACGTGGAATTGTTTTCAGTGATCAGTTGGTCTTTGCTAACTGAGTACAGTTTTCCATGTTTTCACCTATTTATTTAACCTTTGTATATGTGTAATACCACTTACCACATATTCGAAAACACATAATTGAAAAATAAAGCTAGCAGATCTTTGAAAAGGCCTGTCTTCTTTCTTTAGTCCATGTGTAACTTGCGCCAGTGTGCATAAACATATCAGCCAAGTCTGTAAAATAAAAAAAGGAAAAGAGTTGGTGGCAAGAAAAAGGACGGAGAGGTTCTGCTCATTAACACTGTTTCATCTTTGGATTTACTTCCTTCTGCTCTTTTACTTTCATTCTCCTCTTTCATCCTTGGGGTTAAACTCTCCTTGCATCTTCTGAAGTGACTGTTTCAGAAATAGGTTCCCACACAGCTGCCTTCTGTTCCGTGTTCTGCCTCATGTCTAGTGTAGCGTAATAAGTCGTAATACAGTATCTGCAACTTAGCTCTCCATGCTTGTAATTTAAAATGAAGTAAAAATGAAGTAAAAAAGCTTTGGGGGTCCTTAACTCCCATAATTATTTATTGAGTGTTCACATTATACATAATAAACACGTAAATATAACCTGTGGGCTTTGCCTGCAAGTTACTTACAGTCTTAGGGATAGCAGGCATGAAAACTTAAAGGACTTTAGGAAAAGGTGGTATAGACGATGCCACATGAGTTGGATGCCAAATGACTATTGCAGAGGTTTTATGCTACTAGAAATTCAAAGGGCAGAGTGCTCAATTACAGTAGGTTCAAGAGTGGGCAGGGAAGGCTTCACTTGAGGGTGTGTGAGTAAAATGGAGGAAGAACCTTGGAGGAGCAGATAGGGATTAAGCAGATACAGGCGTCAGGAACTGTTGTATCAGGAGGTGCTGACTTAACTGCTTGAAAGTAGTGAAAGGAAGAGTATTGCAATGTACCTTGGGAGAGGTGGATTCAATAGAAATTGCTGAGGCTCTTGATAGCCCTTGAAAGTTCTCCAAGTAAGGAGAAAGAATGGAATGTAAAAGACTGGAATAGAAAGCATCCATTTGCATACTTGGAGCCCTCAGTTAAAAACAAACAGATCAGGTGGATCCTGTTTAGCACTGTGAAATGAAAGTAAGTTTATATCAAAATTGGGGCTTGTTTAGGAGGAGCATCTCCTAACACAATCAGTGAAATATGAGTTAACTTGAAAATTCTAAGATCTTGAATGGAGGTAGAATGATCAGGTCCCTTGGGGCCAGCGATGCGAACTAGAGAGTTAGGATTTTCCAGTTAGCACCATCCAGGTGAAAGTGCCAGGTGGTGAGTCAGAAATACCTGTAAAACTGCAAATGGCAGTTAACTATTCAGAATACCATAACTTGATTTAAAACAAAAAAAGAAAATCTCATTTGTTGTTTAATTTCTTGTCGCTCCTGCAGACTTTTAGTTCATGATGAGCTCCTGGATTTGCAACACAATTTTTCTCAGTTTTTTTCCTGTAAATCATTGAACAGGTAACATTAAAAAGTGCAACACACTTTCCTGTGTGCACACAAAATTATGTGCACTAGACTTTAAGCTTCCTTTAGTTTCTGAGTTTCCTGAGGGTGGCTATCTACAGTATCCCCAGGGCCTGCAATGCTGGCAGACACATTGTATGATCTCATAAAATGTTAACTGAAATGAATGAACGTAACTCTGGTGACCTATTCATCAGGAAGGGTTGGCCTGGCTAATATGACCTCTTATTCTAATAACTTCTTTCTTTATAAATTAATTGGTGTCCTGGTATAACCACACCTCATACTTATTATTACTGCATGAGCCAGTCTTTTTGAAGTCTGCTCAAGGGACCACCACTAAGAAGTAAAGCTTTGGCAGTAATGTTCAGTGACCACGTCCTTTTGTTTTGTTTAGCTCTAGAGTGTTGTTTTGTTTTGTTTTGTTTTTAACTGTACTATAGAAGCTTGTGAGGAGTTCAGCTAATCTTTTCAGGACTCTAGATTGCTATGTCCTGGTTAGTCACTTCTTAGCTTGGTACTGGTGGGATGGGTTAAGAACTGAATGACATGCTTTCTCTGTCTACCTTCACTTCTCCACATTACACCTGACCCCAGGTGTCAAGGAATATACATGAGAGAACAGTTAGATGGTGACACACTGAGAATTAATCAAATAAAGTGTTTCTCATAACTCCAATAACGCATACAAAATATTTGGGGTGTTTTTTGTTAAAAAAAAGGAAAACCCAGAAAGTAATACCTACTTCCTGCTTTTTGTATTTGAAGAGAGAGCTTATATGAGATTATCTAAGTACATGCCTCTTATCATTTCCTCTTTTTTTGTCCAAACCTATTTTCTTTTATTCCTCTGAGAGTTTATAGCTCTCTTTTGACTGTTTTATTTTAAATGTCTAATCACAGTTTAAAGCATTTTGTTCAGAATATTTTAAAATACAAGATTGATTCTTAATTTGTAAAAAACAAGTTTTGGAGTATTGTGAATAAGTTAAGTGAAAGCTTAATATTCAGCACTTCATAATGAATACTGTTTGAAAGAAATAGATTTTAAAGCCTTTATTTTAAAATGTTACATTTACACATTTAGATGGTACATTTTTAAGATACTTACAAATAGAGAAAAAGAATATATAACTTCTTGCTACTACTTTCTTTAAATATGCGTTCCATATACCAGGAAAGTACAAACCTTTTGTGGCTTTTTGTTATCCCTAATATTTGGGCATTACTTTTTCCAAACTGCATAATGTGGTAATTGAGGTGCATCCTTTTGAGTGCTTTTTGAACTTGAATTCTCTGAAGATAATCATTATATAACTTCTTCTTTTACCCATCCCAGAATGTAGCTATTTTCTTTCCACTCATTTTCTTTAGTCCTTCTTCTTTTCTGTATAGAATCAATTCTTCCCATCAAAGCCAGCTTTCATACCTTTCCATTTTGGGCTGTAGTCATCCTCCCTTATTTTGAACTTGAAGTCTGTGCTTCATCCCCACTGACACTTAATAGGTACTCCGGGGTGGGCACGGTTTTTCCAGTCTACTGGACTTCACCCTCCCCACCCCCTAACTCCATCTAGATAGATCTCTGCCTCGTGTGCCCTTTTCTGTGCAGCACGCCACATTCCAGTGGCGAGAGTTACTGACCTACCGACTGACTGAGGTTGCCTCCCCTCTCTTCCTTTACCCTCACAAGACACTCATGTGTCTAAGCGGGTCACTTGGTAGAGCTAGAAGTTCAGCTGGAGGCAGAGGCAGGAAGCGAGAGGGTGAAGTTCAGGGGTCGCATTAACTCACTGAGCTCTCCGAGCCTGAATAAGCAGGGGCTGGGACAACATGAGCAGGCTGAGCAGAGGTTGGAACAGTGTCCTCCAGCCTGTGTCCAATCTGCTTTTGTGAATATCATTATTCGTTCTTTAGCTTAATTTTTAACACCTTTTTTTTGTCAATCTTTCATTCTATATTTTGGCTTTCAGTATATCTCAAGTTTCTGAGCTCTTAGAGTTTTCTTAGGACTTTTCAAGGTTTATTCTAGTTCCAGCAGTGTCATCTAAACAGTCTCATCGTTTTTGAGAAAGGGCTGAAGTTACTGCTTTTGGCAAGACTTGTGTAAAGTTTATTTTATCTCTGCTGCAGTCTGATTTATCTAAACCTGTTCTCAGCCTCGAAGGCTATGTTTTGTGAATGTTCATATTAGAATTGAGGCCTAAGGCGCTAGAACTATATCATTTATTAATTCAGCATATTGCTAATTACTTTTTTGTAATTACATGTAGCAAAAATATAACTTACTACCTTCTCAGGAACACGTGTGCCTGTCCTGGTAGCACCAACATTGATCAGTATGACAATTTGGAGTAAAACCTATAATCAAATGAGCTGGCTGTCCAATTTCACCATTCTTCTCTCTCTAATACACTCCCTTGCAGTTAACGCTCACCCGTGCAGCAGAACACGGTCACTCTCAGGTCGCCAGGTATCTGTTAGGAAAATTCATAATCTGTCTTTTGAGCACATACACAGTAGTGAGAAATTACACTGATTTCTTGTGAACTTTTTTGATGCTTTGATGTGATGTGAGTAGAAAAGGCAGCTGTCTGAGTGGATTCTTCCTAAACAGTGTTACAGAAAGCACTGTGAAGAGCTTTGGAAGCTGTAGTTGGGAGGGCTTTTGTCTGTTTTAACTTAACTGCGGTCAGTGGTTGACAGCTGGCCAGAATGCCTCTGTGTTAAACAGGGTTCTAAGGCCCTGCCTGCTTAGCATGCTCTGATGGATTAGGGGTGAGAAGGGAAATGGCTTTTCCTCCATGTGTTTGCAGTCCCTGACTCCAGCCTTTGTTTTTACAGACAAGGAGACCAACACCTAGAAAAATGAATTAACTTCAGTAGGATTGCAGAGTAGCTGAATTTTCAATTAAAAACTTTGTTTTTTAAATTTTTTATTCCAGGGTGTTTTTCAATAAGGCCTAATAATGTAGACTGTATATGTTTCTTCAGAGATTTTTTCATTCTTATATAAAAGAAATACAGTAACATCAGGAGTATACCCTCCTGCATTAGAGTGTTATATACAGACTAAAATGTATTCGAAGGATATCACCTGGTTATTCTTTGCTTGTGTGGTGATTTAGTTTTCTAAAATCTGATCACATTTGAATGTATAGACAAAGAGTTTTGACTTTACAGAGATAGGAATGTGTGGCCCAAAGTGATGACGTTGGGAACTACTTTACTCAACATTTTAAAAATTAGTTACGAGTGTTAATGCAGTATAAGAAACACCGTATATCCCTGATAGGGATAAAGTTCTGTGGAGACAAAAGTTATGATTTATTCAGTTAGTTTTAAAATCAAGTAATATAATTTAGTGTGCCAGTGGATGGGGTATGTACTCCCACTTTTTAAAAGTCAGGTTTTTTAAGGTATATGAGGCCTGCCCAGAAAGTATCCAGTCAGGTAATATGAAAACTAGAAATTTGCTGAAGAAGATACAAGATAACATTCCACATAGGACAATGACACCTCAGTCCCTTTCAAAGTAGGCACCTTGAGACCTCACACAGTTCACCCAATCGCCATTAGCTGTCCCATCGTATTTTCCTGAATCTCATTGAAGAGCTGAAATCTCTTTCCTTTCGAAGGTGATTTTAGTTTGGGGAAAAGCCAGAAGTTGCAGGGCACCAAATCTGGGCTATAGGGGGCTGAGTCACCTGGGTGGTTTGATGTTTCATCAAAAAACTGCATGAGATGTGATATATGAGCAGACATGTTGCCAATCATCAGTTGCCCATAGCTGCAGCCTTCTGAATCATCTGGATAGTTTCTGTGGAGGAATGTTCAAGCAAAATTTGATGCATATTTGTTGCTCTACTCAGTCATTTTGAATGTGACGGACACACAGTACACATACTCATTCAACAGTGTCTACTGCCCCCACTGACTAGTACAGTGAAGTCATCATTGTTCACACATGTGCATTCCAGCCCACTCTCCTTGGCTGCCAGGTTGCATGGGTGTCTACAAACTGTTCTCATTATATTAACAATGGTCGAGTTTTTTTTTGGACAGGCCTCATAGTTTACATATAGTAAAGCCTCTTTAAAGCATGCTGGGCTTGGGTTTTTGTGTGTGTGTGTGTGTGTTGTTGTTTTCTTTTTCATTTTTAAGCGAGAGAGAGAGAGAAAGGGAGAGAAAGAAAAAGAACATCAATTTGTTGTTCCACTTGTTATGCATTCATTGGTTGATTCTTGTATGTGTCTTGACTGGGAATCAAACCCACAACCTTCGCATATTGGGATGACATTCCAACCAACTGAGCTACCTAACCAGGACCAGCATACAGTTTTAACAAATGTACACAGCATGTAACCACTAACACATTCAAGATATAGAATATCCCATCACCCCAAAAAGTTTATTTTTTTGCCTGGCAGCCACTGATCAAATAAATAATTTTGCCTTTCTAGAAAGTCATGTAAATAGAGTCTTACAATATGTAGCCTTTTGGGTGTATTTTATTTCTTAGGGTAATGTTTTTCTTACATGTATCTGTTTTGCTCCTTTTTATTTATCTGGCTGCTATTCCATTAAATAAGTGTCCCATAGTTTTTCGGGGTTTTTTTAATCTATTCACTAGTTGATAAACATTGGGATCGTTTGCAGTTTGGGATTTTTATGAATAACACCACCATAAATATTCATATACAGATCCAAAGATACTTGTTTTGGTCTTGGGTAAATATTTAGGAATTGCATTGCTTGCTTGTATGGAGTGTGTTTAACTTCCTAAAATTTGCCAGTGTGTTTTCCAAAATGGATGTGCCATTTTTTATTCTTACCAGCAATGTATGGAAGGTCCTGTTGTTTCTCATCCCTGTCAGCACTTGGTATTGTCAATCTTCTTAATTTTATTTTTAATTAAAATCTCAGTGTGGTTTTAATTTGCATTTCTCATATAACTAATGATATATGTAGAGTATCATTTTAGGTGCTGATATGACATCTCTATATATTCTTTGGTGAGGTGTCTATTTAAACATTTGCCCATTTTTAAATAGAGTTATTTGTCTTACTGAGTTTTCAGTTTTTTATGTATTCTAGATGCATGTCCTTTGTCAGATACATGTTTTACAAATATTTTTTTCCCAGTCTATGGCTTGTCTTTCATTGTTCTGGATGTCTTTTTAAAAGAGTAGAGATTTTTAATCTTTAACATTTGCATATCTTTACCTTTTTAGTCAGGAAATCAACACCAGACTATTACAATCAGTTAAATAATATTAAAGTATCTCTTTCCTATGTAATCTATGCTTCTACTAGTTAAACACACTGATAATCTAGTGAAAGAGAAAATTTTAATATTATATGCAAGAAATAGTTTGAAAGTTTCTTTTGTATTTTAGAAATACACTTCTCTTCAGGAGTATAATTAGAAAAAAGAAAATACCTGTGGAAATACTCCAGTTTAACCTGTTGTCCTCTTCTTGTATTCTAGTGTTATTCAAGATAAATTCTGTGGGATTATAAACATCTCGGTGGAGGGCCTGCATGATGTCATGACGGAAGATCCTGAAACAGGAACTTACAAGGAGTAGGTGGATCATTTAATTAATTGCGCTGAGACGGAACCAGGCAGGGGGGTAATTAATTATATCCTACATGAGTTTTGTTCCCTATCACCATATAAAAATAATATAGCAACTATTTGTTATTTTTCTTGTAATATCTACTGTTTATTCTTGAGATCAGATTTATTTTGTTATAGTAAAACTCTGAATTGGGCTTCTTTGGTCTAATTATCATTTTATGATTTGATTTTTTTTTAAATCCAAGTGCATTTTAGCATATGAATTTTTTTTAAGATGTTTTGAGTATTTTTTTTATAAAGCAGAGCTAAGTTTGAATCTCTTCTACTCCACTGACTTTATTTTTTATTTTTATTGTATTTTTTCCCATTATCACTTATCCCCCTTATATCCTCTCCCCACCTCCGTCACCACACTCTGGTCCTTTTCCCTTTTGCTCGACCCCTCCACCCCTAATCTCCGGTGCGCCCCCTTCCCCCCGCCAGCTGTCATCCGGCTCTCTGTAGTCTGTCTCTGTGTTGCTTGTTAGTTCAGTTTGTTCATTAGATTCCAGAGTATGTTCTGTTTTTCAGATAAAAAGCTTCCCTGCCTTCTAGGCAAGTCATGGGGAAAAGGGGATGAGTCAGCATCCTGTTTTCGTATTTGCCTGTTTTCAGCATCACTGGCACCTTTAAGATATTAGAGGGTCATGTGGTACTTGACTGGTTCTAAAGAGAACAGTTAAAAATCATGTTATCACGAATGCTGAAAATCTCATATGTACGTAACTATTAATCTGAAATTTTTTTAAAAAATAAATCATTGTATCCTTTTGTAGTTAGTAGGATTACCTCAACTTATTTCTTATTATTACTGTTGATAAAGGGCATGTTTCATACAATGATAAGCAGGGCTTTATGATTTTCAGACCACTTTGAGTTTTCCTCAGTAATGTATTGAGCCTGTTTTCCCATCTATAGAAAATGGGAAAGATCGCTGTTTGAATCATATTTTGTTGAAAAATATAGAAAGCAGGTATATGTTGTTGAATCTTATTAAATATGTATAAATGAAGTATCTGACATGTAACTTAACTTTGGAGAACATAGGAGTTCAGATGAAGTAGGAACCTCAAACTTCTGTGATTACAAACCAATTTTTATTTTCTTTTTACAAGTACCCAGAAATGGAATTGCTGGACTATATCGTAGTTCTATTTTTAATTTTTTTGCATTTTTAATATATTTTATTGATTATGCTCTTACAGTTGTCCCATTTTGCCCCCTTCACTCTCCTCCACCCTGCACACCCTCTCCCACCCACATTCCCCCCTTTAGTTCATGCCCATGGGTCATACTTGTAAGTTCTTTAGCTTCTGTGTTTCCCGTACTATTCTTACCCTCCCCCTGTCTATTTTCAACCTACAATCTATGCTACTTATTCTCTGTACCTTTTCCCCCTGTTGCTAACTCTCCCCTGTTGCTAACCCTCCATGTGATCTCCATTTCTGTGGTTCTGTTCCTGTTCTAGTTGTTTGCTTAGTTTGTTTTTGTTTTAGGTATGGTTGTTAATAATTGTGAATTTGTTGTCATTTTACTGTACATGTTTTTTATCTTCTTTTTTTTTAAATAAGTCCCTTTAACATTTCATATAATAAGGGCTTGGTGATGATGCATTCCTTTAACTTGACCTTATCTGAGAAGCACTTTATCTGCCCTTCCATTCTAAATGAAAGCTTTGCTGGATAGAGTAATCTGGGATATAGGTCCTTGCCTTTCATGACTTGGAATATTTCTTTCCAGCCCCTTCTTGCCTGCAAGGTCTCTTGAGAAATCAGCTGACAGTCTGATGGGAACTCCTTTGTAGCTTACTGTCTCCTTCTCTTGCTGCTTCTAGGATTCTCTCCTTATCTTTCATCTTGGGTAATGTAATTATGGTGTGCCTTGGTGTATTTCTCCTTGGGTCCAACTTCTTTGGGACTCTCTGAGCTTCCTGGACTTCCTGGAAGTCTATTTCCTTTGCCAGATTGGGGAAGTTCTCCTTTATTATTTGTTCAAATAAGTTTTCCACTTGTTGCTCTTCCTCTTCCCCTTCTGGTACCCCTATAATTAAGATGTTGGAATGTTTAAAGATGTCCTGGAGGTTCCTAAGCCTCTCCTCATTTTTTTGAATTATTGTTTCTTCATTCTTTTCTGATTGGATGTTTCTTTCTTCCTTCTGGTCTACTCCCTTGATTTGAGTCCCAGTTTCCTTCCCATCAGTGTTGGTTCCCTGTGCATTTTCCTTCATTTCACTTATCATAGCCTTCATTTTTTCATCTAATTAGTGACCAAATTCAACCAATTCTGTGAGCATCATGATCACCAGTGCTTTGAACTGTGCATCTGATAGGTTGGCTATCTCTTGGTCATTTAGTTGTATTTGCTGTGGAGCTTTGATCTGTTCTTCTGTTTGGGCCTTTTTGTCTTGTTGCACCTATTACATTGAGGGACGGAGCCTTAGGTGTTCCCCAGGGCGGGGCAACCCACGCCACTGGGTTGTGACGCTGTGGGGGCAGGGTCGGAGAGGGAACAATGGCGTTTTCTCTGCTCTCTGTTGAATTTCAGTCACTTCCCCCACTACCCACAAGCAAACTGGGTCTTTCTGGTGCTGATTCCCGTGTGGGTGGGCTTGCGTACATTCTAGGGCCCTGTGGGTCTCTCCAACAAACTCTCTTGTGAGGCTGGGAGTTTCTCCCACTGCCACCTCAACCCCCACAGGTGTTTTCAATCAATGTTTTGATGCTTTATTTCCCTGTGCTGGGTCCCTGGGTTGCACGGTCTGTTTTGCTCCCCAGTTTTGCCTGGATTATCTGCTCTCCAATGTGGGACCTCCTGGTCCATCAACCGCCTGAGTGCCAGGCCCATCCACAATCCACCGCCTTGCTGGGTCCTCCAGCTGCTGCCTTGTACACCAGGGGTCCGCCAGCCACCACTGTGCCTCGACCAGCCTCTGCCTTGCCGTCGGACTCCGCCCCTCTACCGGTCTGGGTGAACGTTTCTTCTTTAACTCCTTGGTTGTCGGACTTCCATACAGTTCAATTTTCTGTCAGTCTGGTTGTTTTTTGTTTTTAAATTGTTGTTATCCTTATTTTGGTTGTGTGAAGAGGCACTGTATGTTTACCTACAACTCCATCTTGGCTGGAAGTCTATTTTTAATTTTTTGAGGAGCCTCCATATTGTTTTTCATAATGGTTGCACCAAATTAACCTCATCAGCTGTATACATGGGTTTCCTTTTCTCTACATCCTTACCAACACTTGTTATTTCTTGTGTTTTTGATCATTGCCGTTCTAATAGGCATGAGTTGATACCTCACTGTAGTTTTGATTTGCATTTCCCGGGTGATTAGTGACGTTAAACATCTTTTCATGTACCTGTTGACTGTCTGTATGTCTTCAAATGTCTATTTAGATCTGCCCATTTTTAAATTGGATTTTTTTTGCCATTGAGTTGTATGAATTTCTTACTTATTTTGGCTATTAACGCCGTCTCAGATATATGATTTGCAAATATTTTCTCTAACTCAGTAGGTTATCCTTTCATTTTGTTGATGATTTTCTTTGCTGTGCAGAGGCTTTTTAGTTTGATGTTTCTGTTTATTTTTGCTTTTGTTACCTTTGCTTTTGGAATCAGATTAAAAAAAATCATCACTAAGACCAATGTCAAGGAACTTACCACCTACATTTTCTTCTAGAAGTCTTATGTCTTACATTCAAGTGTTTAATCAGTTCTGACCTAATTTTTGTGTATGGGGTAATATGGTGGTCCAGTTTCATTTTTTTGCATGGGTTTCTTTGTATGTTTGTATTTTAGTTAGTAGAGATTTTATTTCATTTAGCCAGAAAAGTATATTAATGAGTTTGAAATTTGTCTTATGCTTGTCATTAGTGGTTTTCCTTTTTTTCCTTAAATATTTTGTTTTTAAGTAAATTGGAAATGAGATTTACAGCCCCTTGCCAATGTTTGGGAAGTAAAGAGGAAGAGAGGGTTTAGTCAGCATTTTAGGATGCCTCTTAAGAGGCACTAAAATTTATTAGAAAAAGACTCAAGTTGTGGTTTTTGTAGCTAGAAGGTATAAAGCATACTGGCTGTAAAGAAAGTCGTAAATTTAGGTTCCAACAGCAGTTTTTTCCTCCTTCACTTGATACATTGGCCCACCAGATGGTTCTTCAGAGTAAAACAGAGAACGCAAGAAGAAACCATGGTTCCCTAATTCTGACACTATCACCTGTATGTTACCCAAATTTGCATAGGTCCCAGTGATCTCCTCTGAGGTCCCTCTTTCCCTAGTTTTCTTTTTCTGATTCATTCTGCTGCATTTCTTAGAAGCCTAATTTCTTACAGAATAAACTCGGTGCATTCTTCTATGCTAACCCTCAATTTACATTACTGGCCTTCTCTCTTACCTCGTTAGATTCCTCCTCATTCCCCATATGTGCCATTCAGTTTTATACACGTTGCTTGACTCATAATATTTTTCTCTCCTGGGCATGTCATGCCCTCAATCTTGCCCTGTTTGGGAAATACCTACCTCTAGAATCCTTCCCAGACTCTCAGGAAGAATTCATTGCATCCTCCTCTGTTCCTTCGTGCCACTTTGTTTTATACTGTTGCCATGCAAAGGGCTGGCCTCTTGTAGTACAGGCTCTCCCCATGAGGTAAGTGTTCTAGGAACCCATCTCCATCAGTGTGCCAGTTCGTGTTGTTGTGAGAGGCTGTATTTGGCCTCAGTGGATTTTTTTTGAAGACTCAATGTGGTTGCCCATTGCATGATGGGTGATTTACAAGGCCACCTGCCCACATTGCACTGCGTGTTCAGCAGTTTTTGACCAAAACCAGCATGACCCCCGTTCCCCACCCTCCCTATTCAACCAGTCTTGCCCCAAGAGATTTTTGTTTGTTTGTTTCCCCTGATGAAAAAGTCCTCAAGGGGAAATGTTTTGCTATTGTGGAAGAGGTGAAA